ATGGTTTAGTGGTGGCCTTGGCAGTGCTGGGTTAACAGTTGGACTCGATCATCTTAAGGGTCTTTTCCAGCCTAAGTGGTTCTGTGATTTCGGCGAGGTCTGCGTGCACGTGTGTGTCCCCGTCCCGCCGCGTCTCCCTCTCCCAAAGCCGTGCTCGCCAGCGGATTTGGCTGCTCCCGGGGCTGCACCCCCGTGTCCTTCCTTCACCCAGCATGGCCCCGAATCCTCCTGGGCAGCACTGGCCTAAAGAAGGTGAGAAACCCCGAAGGGGGAGGCTGTGAAAACCCGCAGGGTTTGGGGGCTGCTCTGTTCCTCCGAGGCTTTGGGGTCAGCAGGGCTGGCGGCCCCGCGGGACCCCCGCAGCCAGGGACTCCATCTTGCCCCCCTGCTGCTTTCCGAGCCCTGGGGCGGTGGGGGGGTGCACTTCTGTTTTCCTTTTTGTTGTTAAAAAACAAAACAAAACAACATGCAATTTTAAATTCTTGAGCTGTGATATTTATACAAAACTGTTTGATGTTTTTTTCTACACAGGAATAATATTGAAAGTAGATGAGTTTCCCCCGTGTGTCTCTTGCTTTGCTGCAGCGGCGGGGCAGGGAGAGGGACCGGGACCAGGGCAACGCATCGGCAGCGGGAGCTCTCCTGCCTCCTCCGTGCCCGGAGGAGAGGGGCTGAGCTGGGCAAAACGACGTTCTTCGGTTTAATAACTTACAATATAATAATTCCCTTCCCCAGGAACTGAAGAAATTTCAGAGGTGTGGAAAAAAAATGTGGCTTTTTCTTCCTTTTAAACATCCCCAGCGGCACCTTGGCCTGCCTTTGGCTTCAGGAGCGACCCGTGCGATGGAGGGGGTTCCCCTCGCGACGAGCCCCTCACCCACCGCTGCGGCACCCCCAGCCCGCCTCCCCGGGCCCCCGAGGCGGAGAAGGGGGATGAGGAACCCCTCCGAGGTGGCAGTGAAGGGGCTTGGGGGTCCCCCACTGCACCCCGGGCAGGGAGAGGTGCCGAAGCCCCCCGCAACATCCTCCCCTCCTGCCGTGGCTCCTGCTGCCATCCATTGGCTCAGTGGCTTGTTAAAATGACTTTTTTAAAGGTAAAAATGACTTTTAAAGCAGCTTGGCTGAATATCCCCAAATACCTGGGAGCAGGCGATGGTATTCCAGGGAAACACGCTGCTCCAGAGCCGCCGTCGAAGTGGCTGGGGCGGACGAGCTGCTTTCCTGCCGGCTGCTTGGGTTTGCTGTCGGAGGAGCAAACTGCAAACGGCAACGAGAAGAGGCATTTTCTCGGCCAAGAAAAAAAAAACCAACCAAGGCGATGGTGTTGCAGGAGGTTTTGGCCTTGGCGTATCAAACCCTCAGCTGTTTGTGCCCAGATTTGAACCGGAGGCCGGGAGGAGGCTGCGCGGGCGCCCTGGGCGCGAGGCTTTGCGAGGGGAGATGCAGGGACCCTGGCAGGCAGGCGGCAGAGCGCTGGCGGTGCCGAGGCGCTGTTTCTCCAGGGAAAGTGTCTTCGTGTTTGCGAAAATCCACCGCCGTGAAGGCGGCCTAGAAGCGCTCGGCTTCGGCTCCGCAGCATCCTGCGCGGCGAGACCTGCGGCTGCCGGGGAGCGAGCCACCGGGCTGAGAACGGCCCCCAGCCCCGCCGGGCTCAGCCTCGGTGTCCCCCGAACCCCTCGGCAAAAGTGCTGGTTTTCTCTCCCAAATTAAAATCACTGTGTCCCCGTGTGGGGATGGTGACGGTGGCTGGGATGGAGCTGGGGTTGCACCCAGAAGGGGTGCTGAGACCTGGTGGGGGAGAAGCTCGCTGCACCGATGACAGAGACACCTCTGGTGGCAACTGGGTGGCACGCAGCACCCGCGTGTCCCCGTGTCGCCCCTCCCGGCTGCCCACCGCGGCTTTGTCATTCCCCCAGGGAGGAAAACTCCGTCAGCCGCTTCTCTCGGGTGCCAGTGTTGGCCGAGCCCGTGCTGGCAGGAAGATGGTTTTGGGGCAAAGTGCCTTTTTCCCTGTTTTTCCCCGGTCTGGCCCCGTTCCCCCTGTTTTCATGACGGCGGGTGCGATGCTGGGGGCCCCATGGGGGGCTGGGAGGAGGAGGAGGAGGCTGAGGAGGGGGAGCCCAGACCTGCTACAGCTCCACGCGAACGTGCTCTGGGTTTTGCAATGTCCCTGTGCCGAGGAGCCGCCGCCGCCGGGCCCCAGCAGCCGTAAATATTTACCCTGGTGACGGCGGGCGCAGAACGGGATGATGGTTTCCGCTGCGTCTCTGCCGGCAGCACCCTCCGCTGCCCCCCACTTCGTACAGAGCCGCTTCCCCCAGCCCACCGCGGCCCGTCCCTCTGTCCGTCCGTCTGTCCGGCTTTGCCTCTCCCGTGTGTGGCCGGGCGGTTGGCTGGAGCGTGACGGCCCCGAGTGTCATTATCGAGGCGAGGCAAACGCTCCAGCCCTTTGAGCAAACATCCCACCTGCCCGGCCCCGCTGCTGCTGGTGGATGAGCTCGGGAAGCCCCTGGCCCACCCTGCCCATGCTGGCACCCCTTCGTGGGACCCCCATGCTCCGTCCGGCTCCGATTTCACCCCCTTCATCCTTTTTCCTGCCTCTAGGAGACATTTTGCGGCACTGGAGCGCGGCATCCCCCGGTCCCTTAGCAGGGCACGGCCCTACGAGCTGTCGGGGTGGGAGTGGGAAGGTGGGGTGAAGCCCCCCGGTCTTGGGAGGAGGCACGGGGTTGCGGGGTCGTGCATGTGGGGGTCATGCAGGGACCTGCGTCAAACGCGTGTGTCAAGGGGACATCAGCCCTCTCTCTCCAGCGTGGGCATCGCCCTGCGGTTGAAGAAGACGCTGAGATCCTGCCAAAAAGGCAGCAGGGTGCTAACCCCTGCCCAGGGGTTGATAGCATCATCCAGTGAGGTCCAGG